CATCATCACCACGTAGACATCGATAGCAGCAGACAAATAGCCTAAACGCGTGGTGACGTAGATTCTAAATGTGGAGGGAAAAACCGGAGGACCCGGAGCAGAGGTCGCAAACGGGTTTTGATTCCTTACCCGTACCCGTACCCGGCCGCACCAGGGTCGAAAACGGGTACCCGTACCCGTACCCTACCCGATACCCGGCTACCCGTACCCGGCCGGGTATCGGGTAGGGTATGGGTATCAGGTACCCGATTGCAACCTCTGGGATGAAGCCATGTTGCAGGCGCGGGTGGGTTGATTCTAGGAACTTGAATTGTGAGAAGAGACAATACATTTGGAAATGAGTGACAAACGGTGACTCACCAGTGACTCACGGCTTACCCGTACCCGTACTCGGCCGCATCAGGGTCGCAAACGGATTCCCGTACCCGTACCCGGCCGGGTACGGGTAGCTGGGTATCGGGTATGGTACGGGTATCGGGTACCCGCTTGCGACCTCTGACCCGGAGTGAAAATCCACGCAGCGACCACAATGAGGAGAGAGACGCAGACTTGCAACATACAGCAGCAGCAGCAGACATGGCCAGGATCTGGCATCGAATCCACGACCTCCTGCATACCAGGCGAAGGAGATTGCATCTCCTCGCCACCTGCGTGTGGCCGCTGTCTGTTTGTGTTTTCGTGACTTGCCTAAGCGAGACTCGAGATGGCAATGTTCGTTCTGGGGGTTTCCCGTCCACACTTAACTCGTTATGTTAACTGACAAATGCCTATACGATGCACTATAGCGGGCTGGGCTACCTGGCTGTGAAATGTCATCTCGGCTCCCTTAGAACAACAACAAACAACAGACGTCGTGCGTTGACGGGGTTTCGCAGTAGATGTGGCTTGAAAGACCTTCACAATGGCCGTGTCACGGACACACTGAGTCAGCAAGGCTGAGATCCTGAGCGTCTGTTACCTGTGAAGGTTCACAATGGCCGAGAAAGAAGTGCAACAAAGATAAAGGGGACGTCCATTAATGACGTCACGCACCGGGGGGGGGGGTGTCAGACATTTGTGACGATGTGTGACGAGGGGGGGGTGTGTGACGTCACATCAAAATACGCAACTTCAAATAAATATAGACAACACGTTCTACTTAATTAAATACACTGTTCCTCGTAGCAGGAGGAGCCTTTCGCGAGCAATATTATCCACAGCGGAGGTTTGTGTTGGCTTAGATCGAGTAAATATCAATGTTGTGTTGGGGTTACACTCGCCACTTTGAACCGACACAGCCAATGGGTGAGGTTTGTCACGTATACAAAACCTGCCAATTCGTTACGAGTTCAACTGATGTGTTGGAGAGTCAGTCCACTACAGCATTTACAATAGTAGTGTAGTATTGTATAGTAGTGTAGTGTATAGTAGTGTATAGTAGTGCAGCGTATAGTAGTGTAGTGTATAGTGTAGTGTATAGTAGTGTAGTGTATAGTATAGTGTAGTGTATAGTAGTGTGGTGTATAGTAGTGTATAGTAGTATAGTGTATAGTGTAGTGTATAGTAGTGTAGTGTGTAGTTTATTGTATAGTAGTGTAGTTTGTAGCAGTGTAGTGTATAGTAGTGTAGTGTATAGTAGTGTAGTTTGTAGCAGTGTAGTGTATAGTAGTGTATAGTGTAGTGTATAGTGTAGTGTATAGTGTAGTGTATAGTAGTGTAGTGTAGTGTATAGTGTAGTGTATAGTAGTGTAGTGTATAGTAGTGTAGTGTATAGTAGTGTAGTGTATAGTAGTGTAGTGTATAGTAGTGTAGTGTATAGTGTAGTGTATAGTAGTGTGGTGTATAGTGTGGTGTATAGTAGTGTAGTGTATAGTAGTGTAGTGTAGAGTGTAGTGTATAGTAGTGTAGTGTGTAGTTTAGTGTATAGTAGTGTAGTGTGTAGTTTAGTGTATAGTAGTGTAGTATGTAGCAGTGTAGTGTGTAGTGTAGTTTAGTGTATATTAGTGTAGTGTGTAGCAGTGTAGTGTGCAGTAGTGTAGTGTGTAGTTGTCTAGTGTAAAGTGTAGTGTATAGTAGTGTAGTGTATAGTAGTGTATAGTAGTGTAGTGTATAGTGTAGTGTATATTGTTTTATACTCGCACAGCACTCACTGGTTGTTGTGTGTTGGATAGTAAGCCCATTACAACATTTACACTTATAGTGTAGTGTATAGTAATGTAGTGTATAGTAGTGTAGTGTATAGTGTAGTGTATAGTAGTGTAGTGTGTAGTTTAGTGTATAGTGTAGTGTATAGTAGTCTAGTGTATAGTAGTGTAGTGTATAGTAGTGTAGTGTAGTATGTAGTGTAGTGTATAGTAGTGTAGTGTATAGTAGTGTAGTGTGTATAGTAGTGTATTGTGTAGTGTATAGTAGTGTAGTGTGTAGTTTAGTGTATAGTAGTGTAGTGTATAGTAGTGTAGTGTATAGTAGTGTATAGTGTAGTGTGTATAGTAGTGTAGTGTATAGTAGTGTAGAGTGTAGTGTATAGTGTAGTGTATAGTAGTGTAGTGTATAGTAGTGTAGTGTATAGTAGTGTATAGTGTAGTGTGTATAGTAGTGTAGTGTATAGTAGTGTATAGTGTAGTGTATAGTAGTGTAGTGTATAGTAGTGTATAGTGTAGTGTGTATAGTAGTGTAGTGTATAGTAGTGTATAGTGTAGTGTATAGTAGTGTAGTGTATAGTAATGTAGTGTATAGTATAGTGTATAGTAATCTAGTGTATAGTAGTATAGTGTAGTGTATAGTGTAGTGTATAGTGTAGTGTATAGTAATGTAGTGTATAGTATAGTGTATAGTAATGTAGTGTATAGTAGTATAGTGTAGTGTATAGTAGTATAGTGTAGTGTATAGTGTAGTGTATAGTGTAGTGTTGGATAGTAAGCCCACTACAACATTTACAATCCAAGTTCCGTGACGTATCGCAGGTAATTACAACAACAACAACAAAGAGCATCATCAGGCAACTCTGCGGTTTCCATTCCACGTACCCCGCATACCCCACATACCGTCAACACCGATGGCACAATACAACCACGGACTCGTCAGGTCTGTGCTGATTAACAGGGCTTTTGAGTCTGGGGAGTTCTGCACCGATCACACTTGACAGGCTGTCACTGGGCATCTTGCTGTTTTTTCCTGGATTTTCTGTTTGCACATAGTCACATATTCACTTTAAGATGGTTTCTTGTTCATGTTTTTGTTTTTGTTTGTTGCGGTTGCACCCGATTCAAGAGCCGAATGGCTCACAGGGCGATACCAAATAAATGAAAACTTAAAAAACTAAACGAAATGAAATGAAATCTGCGGGACTGTGTTTAGCCAACTACAAGGTTGATAATTGTTTTTTACCCTTCTATCTGGCAACAAAACTGACACCTTTTTTACAAGGAGTCATGTTTGCATAGACCACAATACCTGCAGTCATAATGCAAACAAAAAACATAACTCTGATAATGTATGCACTGTCCTTGAAGTTGATTGGTCCACACCCGAGACAGCTTTCCTTAGAGCCTAGTCTCACATGGTGTTGGACCAGATGACGCCAAAAGGCGCACCTTTAGAAGGGTAAAAAAACAATTATCATATATTTTACTGGCAAATGAGGTTCCAATGGTGAACTACAAGGTCGTTTGTTGTCGTTCCACCGCACCTCCGCTTAGCACGGTTGGCTACGTACGGTGCGAAAGAAGTTCAACGTACATGCACACTGAGCATGGTTGACTACGTATGGTAAGAAAGAAAAACGAAAAAACACTTTTGTTATTTGACCAGGTAAGGCCCACTGAACTATGTAGCTCTTTGTCAGAAGCAACCTGGCCACAAATGATAGCTCAACGAAGCGACTGATCATCATCATCACGTGGAAATGTATAGCAGCTAAATACTCTAAACGCGTGATGTTGATTCTTAATGTGGAGGGAAAACCAGAGGACCCAAAGTCAAATCCACGAGACCACGGGGTAATCGCGCAAACTCCAAATATATAAGAGGCGTCTGGGGTCGGGATCGAACCCACGACCTCCTGTATACAAGGCGAGGTGGTTAACATCTCTTAGTCACTGTGGATTTAGGGCCGGGATCGAACCCACAACCTCCGGTATACCAGGCGAGGTAGTTAACATCTCATAGCCACCGTGATGATGATGATGAGAGAGAGAGACACGCACAATCCAAATATACAATAGCAGGCGTCAGGGTCGGGATCGAACCCACGACCTCCTGTGTCCCAGGCGAGGTGGTTAACATCTCCTAGCCACCGTGATGATGATGAGAGAGAGAGACACGCACACTCCAAATATACAACAGCAGGCGTCTGGGGTCGGGATCGAACCCACGACCTCCTGTATACCAGGCGAGGTAGTTAACATATCTTAGCCAGTGTGGATTTAGGGCCGGGATCGAACTCACAACCTCCGGTATACCAGGCGAGGTAGTTAACATATCCTAGCCACCGTGATGATGATACGAGAGAGAGACACGCATACTCCAAATATACAACAGCAGGCGTCTGGGGTCGGGATCGAACCCACGACCTCCAGGCGAGGTAGTTAACATCTCTTAGCCACTGTGGATTTAGGGCCAGGATCGAATCCACAACCTCCGGTATACCAGGCGAGGTGGTTAACATCTCCTAGCCACCGTGATGATGATGAGAGAGAGAGACACGCAAACTCCAAATATACAACAGCAGGCGTCAGGGGTCGGGATCGAACCTACGACCTCCTGTATACCAGGCGAGGTAGTTAACATATCTTAGCCAGTGTGGAATTAGGGCCGGGATCGAACTCACAACCTCCGGTATACCAGGCGAGGTAGTTAACATCTGCTAGCCACCGTGGCGCCCCTAATGCGACCATCATCAGTGTAACGTTCTAACTCCGTGGCCCTAACTGGATCATCTGTGATATAGAGCCTCATAGCTCATCGGATACCTCCAGGATGAGTGAATTAATTCTGATTCTGAAATTCTGATTTATCCCCAGGAATGATGCTCGCTGGCAGTGCGGGGGTTGGGAACGGCTTGGAGTCCGAAGCGCAGCGCCAAGGTGAGTTCAATACCAGGTCGTGGTCAACTCGAATTCATCACCACCATCATGACCATCACCACCATCATCACCACCATCATGACCATCACCACCATCATCACCACCACCATCATCACCACCAACATCATCATCACCATCACCACCATCTTCATCATTGTCACCATCATTATCATCACCACCATCACCATCATCATCACCACCATTACAACCACCACCATCATCATCACAACCATCATCACCATCATCAATACCACCACCATCATCACCCCCATCATTATCATCACCACAACCATTAGGAACATCATCACCACTTTCATCATCATCACCACTACCATAATCATGACCATCGTCACCATCAACAAACCCATCATCATCACCACCACCATCATCACCACCATTATTATCATCACCACAACCACCATCATCATCACCACCATCACAACCACCACCATCATCATCACAACCATCATCATCACCACCACCATTATGAACATCATCACCACTTTCATCATCATCACCGCCACCATCAACACACCCATCATCATCATCATCACCACCTTCATCATCATCACTACTTATCTGGGCAGTGGCATAAAATTTCTATGGACCGCCTAGGAAAGCTAATTTAGTGATCTAACAAAAGTAATTCTCAACAGAACAACCGTAGTAGCATTCAATGACCGTTTCATTTTTCGTAAAAGCAATCCATTACTTAACGACAAAAAGGTGACATCGATCTCTCATTAACCTGACATCACTATTGTAACTAACTATGAATGCCATATTCACGAGTGCATTGATCTTAGGCCAGTCAGCACAGCGAGTGCACAAAATCACCGTCACATCATCGTTGGTGCAGCACCTCAATTCTTGCTCGTAGAACGACGAAACATCCATCGGCGCGACTGCCATGTAACATGAACTCTCTGCAGAGGTCGCAACCGGGTACCTGATACCCGTACCCTACCCGATACCCGGCTACCTGTACCCGGCCGGGTATGGGTACGGGTAGCCGGTTGCGACCCTGGTGCGGCCGGGTATGGGTAGGCCGTGAGTCACTGGTGAGTAACCGTTTGTCACTCATTTCGGGTAGGGTACGGGTAGGGAACGGATACCCGTACCCGGCCGGGTACGGGTATCCGGCCGGGTACGGGTACCCATTTGCGACCCTGGTGCGGCCGGGTACGGGTAAGGAATCAAAACCGGTTTGCGACCTCTGACTCTCTGTAGCGGAATAGATGGGAACGTACTGCCCTCTACTGCTTGAGTTGTGACATAGCTAACACGTTGGTGTGTAGCGTGGTATCTACAAGGCTCGATTATTGAAACTTACTACTCTGCATCATTATAGTCATCATCACCACCAACGTCATCATCACCATCGTCATCATCACCAACGTCATCATCATCACCGTCATCACCACCAACGTCATCATCACCACCGTCATCATCACCACCATCAACATCATCATCACTACCAACATCATCATCATCACCACCATCGTCATCATCACCGTCATCATCATCACCATCATCATCATCACTACCAACATCATCATCACTACCATCGTCATCATCATCACCGTCATCATCACCACCATCAACATCATCATCACTACCAACATCATCATCATCATCACCACCATCGTCATCATCACCATCATCATCACCACCATCGTCATCATCATCACCGTCATCATCACCACCATCAACATCATCATCACTACCAACATCATCATCATCACCACCATCGTCATCATCATCGCCGTCATCATCACCACCATCAACATCATCATCACTACCAACATCATCATCATCACCACCATCGTCATCATCACCGTCATCATCATCACTATCATCATCATCATCATCATCGTCGTCGTTATCATCACCACCGTCATCACCACCAACGTCATCATCATCATCATCACCGTCATCATCACCACCGTCATCATCACGACCGTCATCATCACCACCGTTATCATCATCACCACCATCAACATCATCATCACTACCAACATCATCATCATCATCACCACCAGCATCATCATCATCACCGTGATCATCACCAGCAACATCATCACCACCGTCGTCATCACCACCGTCATCATCATCACCACCGTCATCACTAATTTATTATCACCTGGGCAGTGACAATAGCTACAGAGCCAATGGGAACGCGTTGCTACTATAATAGCCCAGAAATGTCCGCCACGCGCGTGACGTCACTCCACATGCCACCCCCCCCCCCCCCCCGTAATTAATAATTAAATAATCATGATCGGGTGGATTTTGACACTCACGCGTTAGAAGGTCGCGCGGAAAGACATTTCGATTCACAAAGTCGCGTCGAATATGACGACGTTTCTTTACAGAAAGTGACGGTAACAAATAAATCTACGCAGCAACAGTGCTATATCCACTATGGCAACCTCATTTACCAGTAAAAATATGATAATTGTTTTTTTACCCTTCTATCTGGCAACAAAACTGACACCTTTTTACAAGGAGTCATGTTTGCATAGACTGCAATACCTGCAGTCATAATACAAACAAAAGAACATAACTCTGATAATGTGCACTGTCCTTGAAGTTGATTGGTCCACACCCGAGACAGCTTTCCTTAGAGCCTAGTCTCACATGGGTTGGACCAGATGACGCCAAAAGGCGCACAAAAAAAAACAATTATCAGTGCTACATCCGTACGTGACGTCACTGCAAATGAGCCCCCCCCCCCCCCCCCCATTAATAACACTGGTCAACACACTTTTTCTGGTATAAGGTATTCCAACGGTTTTAAGGTAATTTTGGGGTGCTGATTCCAAATCTGGCATCAGTTTTTGTCTATCACATCAGGTTTTTGAGATATCAAATATTGCATTTTCAATAAAAACTGCAGATGAAAAATATTAAATAAATGTGAATATCTACATGAAATTATATTATAAACACACTATCCTAAAAATACAGCACCATATTTTAACACTAAAACAGTCACTGACTCGCAACAACTTGCAATCATAAGTGACAGAGTTAATTTCGTGTAAAATCAATGAAAATGGGGTATGCCGATAGCATAAAAATGAGATGTGATAGAGCAAATCTGAGATCAGATTTGGAATCAGCACCCTGAAATTAGTCTAGAACAGCTGCAAAAGTCCAGGCCAGAAAAAAAATGCTTTTTCGTTGACCAGTGTAGTAGATGATGATTTCGGAGGGGATGAGCGGATACACTTCGTTGTGATCTGCCCTCCTTCAGATAATCGGATGACTCCACCACCAAGGCACAACCAGAGGGTTATGTAACTGCAACTCTTTTGATCGCCATTCGATCTTTTTTCCCTCGGTCACTTCGGGGTGGATTCATTGATAGACCCACCTCTCTCTCTGCCTAGCCCCCCCCCTCTCTCTCTACTTAAGGCATCGCCACAGAGGCATTGGGTCTCTGTGTGTCTATGTTGTGTCTATCTCTGTGTCTCTGTGTTGTCTCTCTCTGCTTGTGTGTCTGTCTGTGTGTCTCCGTGTCTGCGTTTCGTCTCCCTCTCAAATTTAGTTCTACCTGATGACGGTTGCTTGTGTTGCAATCGAAACGTCGTACTCTATTATTTTATTAATTTTCCTTCCACGTGAATTTACCGAAAGAACCAAAGAGTAATTCCTGCATCTTCTTGGTTCTTTCGGTAAAGTCACGTAGAAGGGAAATAATAAAATTATAAAAAATCAAACATGATAAAATCATTCTCACGACGTTTCGCCCACAACGCAAGCAGCCGTCCTCAGGTGAAGAACAGGTCTGTCGGAAAGACAGCGTTTGAATGAGACGCTGTCTTTCTGACAGACCTGTTCTTCTATGTTTCTTCTATGTTTAATTTTTATTATTTTATTATTTCCCTTCTACGTGACTTTACCGAAAGAACCAATAAGATGAATCCCTGCAGTCACGAATGCTTTAAATCGAAAAGTAATTCCTGCAATCAAGAAAGCTTCAAATCAAGTTTGCAACTCTTTATTTCAAAGTGTTCTTCTGAAGAGCATCTGCAATTAGGACCAGATGCACACCAATCAACCCCAATTCACACCACCTCACTGCTCAACCCCATGTACAGTGTCCACCCGAATCTCAATAATGATAACGCCTGCTTATCATATACAATACACATTCAACGTATAACATCTGACAGATATAACATTTAACAAAAGCTTAGTATTATTGGTTCTTTCGGTAAAGTCACGTAGTAGGGAATTAATAAAATAATACAAATATAAAACAATAACATGCTCACGACGTTTCGACTGCAACACAAGCAATCATCATCAGGTGTGAAATCCACAGCAAGAAAATTTGAAAAAAGTGGCGTTTTTTCCTAACGTAAGCACCACAGACAGCGATTTGGCAGTTGACCAGATGCACAAGTCCATCTTGCTGTGGATTTCACACCTGATGATGATTGCTGCTTGTGTTGCAGTCTAAACGTCGTGAGAATTTTTATTGTTTTATATTTTTATTATTTTATTATTTCCTTTCTACGTGATGACTTTACCGAAAGAACCAAGAATATGAATCCCTGCAGTCACGAAAGCTTTAAATCAAGATAAAAACTTAGTAGTAAAAAAATCTACTTCCGTGGGCCTACTCTTAACACGAAAGGTGACACTGCACTTTGAGGGATCCAATGGAATCTGTATCTCATGACATGTTGCCACTACAAGGATTAAAATACATGGCTTCAACTCCTGGCTATCAATCTCATCAACACCGATATCCAATTGCCATCAGAACGTGATATAGCTACCAGCGAAATTACCAGCGAAACGTCGTACTAAAAAATTGTAAATGTTGATTTAAAGCTTTCGTGACTGCAGGGATTCATAGTCTTGGTTCTTTCGGTAAAGTCACGTAGAAGGGAAAAAATAAAATAATATTAATATAAAACAATACAAATTCAACACAAGCAATCATCATCAGGTGTGAAATGCACACCTGATGATGATTGCTTGTGTTGCAGTCGAAACGTCGTGAGAATTTTTATTGTTTTTTTATTTATATTATTTTATTATTTCCCTTCTACGTGACTTTACCGAAAGAACCAAGAATATTGTAAATGTTGTGGATTCACTCTTCAACACACCAGTGGGCCAAAGTAGTGAACTATTTTGTCTTTTGTCAACTTGACACTTTTTTTACTGATTGGCCTTGTCGGGTGGTGGAGGGTTACGTCACATTTAAAAATAACGCGATCTAACCCAAAAACGTTTATTATGAATAATATTGGTCGCGAAAGCCTGCTACGTGTTAAAGTGATATAACTGCTCACCCCAAGCTATAAATGCTCTGATACGTGCATTGTCTTTGTGCTGTTCGCCTTTTGGCGTTCTCTGGTATGACGCTGCTCGTGAGACGAGGCCACAAAGAAGGCCGCTGTCTCTGGTGTAGGCCAATCAGTTTCAAAGACAACGCCATGTAACATGATAGTGACATTATTATTAAAGACAATTTATATATTATCAGCGCCATGTTTCGATTTAAAGCTTTCATGACTGCAGGGATTCATATTCTTGGTTCTTTTGGTAAAGTCACGTAGAAGGGAAATAATAAAATAATAAAAATAAAACATAATAAAATTATTCTCACGACGCAAGCAGCCGTCCTCAGGTGAAGAACAGGTCTGTTCTTCACCTGAGGACGGCTGCTTGTGTTGTGGCCGAAACGTCGTGAGAATTATTGTTATGTTTTATTTTTATTATTTCCCTTCTACGTGACTTTACTGAAAGAACCAAGAAGAAGCGCCATGTTTGTTTGCATGTTCACCACAACTACTGTGCGTGGTTACTGCAGTACTACATTTCCTGAAAAAGGTTTCTATTCAGAGTTTGAACATCTCAACACACCTGTTTTATTGCCAGAAAGGGTAAAACCTATTCTCATTTTTCATACGAGATGTACTAATGTGGGCGCTGTGTGTGGTTTCCCTAGAGCTGATGGTCGTCACCCCAGAGAAAATGAACGCTGTAGCAGGCAGCACGATTCTCCTACCCTGCTCCTACACCTGTACAATCAGCGGCGTTACTCACACACTGGCGGAGTGGTTGAGGATCATAGATGGACGTGAAGAAACGGTGAGTTTCGATTTAAAGCTAGCGTGACTGCAGCATGGATTCACCTTCTTGGTTCTTTCGGTAAAGTCACGTAGAAGAGAAATAATTAAACAATAAAAATAAAACATAATAAAATACAATTCTCACGACGTTTCGGTCACAACGCAAGCAGCCGTCCTCAGGTGAAGAACAGGTCTGTCGGAAAGACAGTGTCAGACACTCCCTTCTACGTGACTTTACCGAAAGAACCAATAAGATGAAACGGTGAGTTATAAATCTCTCTATCAGAGTAGGACATCGAAATGCGGGAAACCTTGCCCAACACACCTTTTTCGAATGCGTCGGTTTGTCGGAAGACGGGCGGTGATCGGTAACAGAGGTTGTTTTGGGTTAGATCGCGTAAATATATAAATGTGTCATTAATCCCGTCACCACCCGATGCATGCAATTAGTAAGGATTGTCACATAAACAGAACATATCAATTTATCACTAGTACAGCACACTTGTGCGTTGGAGAGCAAAGCCACGACACTTATGTAATGCGGGCGTAAACGGCCTCGCGGATATGACGTCACGGGGGGAGGAGTTAGGTCACGTGGGAGAGAGGGATCAAGTCTGAAGGGGGAGAAACCGGAAGAGACGGGAGAGAGTTGGGGATTGGGAAAGAGTGAGGCCACGCAGGGCGGAGATCGGAGAGTGGCGAGATCGCCACACAGGGAGTGAGACTCGGCACCGTCGGCCAGCGGTGACCGAGCACGGAGTGACGAGCAGCAGCGGGGGGAGCTGCTGTGAGGGCAGCCGGAGGTCTGCACGGGGAAACCAGCAGCGGTGGAGCTGCATCGGAGTGGGGAGAGGCTACGGGAGCGAAGGCAGCATCGAGCTGCCGAGCGGAGAGGCTCTGAGCGAGGGCCGTGTGGGACAAGTGTAAAGGAACCCGAATAAAGGACAACGGAGACAGACACAGTGAACGAGTCCTTTATTACACTTACAATCTGAGCGCAATGTTTTGGTAGTAACTACAACTAGCTTCATCAGGAGACAGCCATATTTGTGGAGAAATCATCCTGTTTAGTTCCTTAAATAGAGGGGTAGATGTGATGGCATCACTTGTGAGCCCTTCTTGATGTTGGGGGGGGGCTATTAATGAATGCATATAAATGAGAATGGGTATCCACTGCAGGCTGGGTTAATTACATGGTATATCTTGACTTAAAGCTGGTAATGTTAATCAACGTAATCTCTGCATCTTTAGAGGAACGGCAGTGAAGACAACAGCTTCATCGGCTTAGTTCAGAGTTTCTCCAATTTTCTGGTTTGAAGAAAAGTATTCTCCCCATAGAAGTTAGTCAGTTTAACACGCAGGCTTTGGCGACCAATATCATTGTGAGTGCCGTGGCGATGGGAAGGGTAATAGAGACCGGGGTTTTGTGTTGAGGCGATATTGAAAACCCAAGAGTGTACACACACAGCAAGAAGACAACCTGATGATGCAGGCATTGATGAGAAGGAAACTGGCACTATTTGGACACATCTGTAGGATGGACAACAACAGGGAAATTCAAAGTGTTGTCGCTCAGAAAAATGGAAGGAACCAGATAGAGATTAAGACCTAATGGAGAATGGCTTGACGACGACATAAGAATATCTTCTTGGTTCTTTCTGTAAAGTCACGTAGAAGGTGTTTCATTCAGACGCTGTCTTCCCGACAGACCTGTTCTTCACCTTGAGGACGGCTGCTTGCGTTGTGGCCGAAACGTCGTGAGAATTATTTTATTATGTTTTATTTTTATTATTTTATTATTTCCCTTCTACGTGATGACTTTACCGAAAGAACCAAGAAGATGAATCCCTGCAGTCACGAAAGCTTTAAATCGAGACATAAGAAGAGTTTGGTGCCAGAAAGACGTGGCAAATACTTGAGCAGATTGGCACGACAAGACACAGGAAAGTGGAAATGAATGACGAAATGTGCAGTCGACACCTTATGGGCCATCTGCCCGTAGATCGCAATGATGATGATGGCACACAAGATGTGGAGAGTGACTCAGCATAACAATGGCAGAAATCTTCTTGGTTCTTTCGGTAAAGTCACGTAGAATGGAAATAATCAAATAATAAAAATAAAACATAATAAGTAATTTTTAAAATAATTTTTATTTTATTTTGTTTCATTTTTATTATTTTATTTTTTCCCTTCTACGTGACTTTACCGAAAGAACCAAGAAGATGAATCCCTGCAGTCACAAAAGCTTCAAATCGAAATGGCAGAAATCGTTCAGAATTATTCATAGCAAAAAGGGAGGAGGGTTTTCATACAGGATCCAGGAAGGTAACCAGAGTTTTCCCATGAGGTCTGTTACTTTGTCGAACGCGGTTTTGCCCAACCCGGCATTTCCCAGGAATGTTTGGCGAGGTCTGCGTGCACTGAACTAAGGGGTGCGGTGCCCAAGTGTGATATTAGTGAACACCTATTTTATTGCCAGAAAGTGTAAAACCTAATCTTAATTTTCATACTTCTGTTGGGGACTAATGTAGAGAAACGTTTAGGATTCAAGAAGTAGAATGGGTTGTGATAATTAAGAGCAGGTGGCCGGATGACTAAACATGCGGAGAGGAAAGCACTGTCTAGTTAAGGGCAGGGAGAGAGGAGATATGAAAGGGGACGATCACGAACAGTCGGGACGCTTGCCTGGGACGAAGACGAGTTTGTGGCTCCACAGGGCAGTACTCGTAGGAGAGATGTGAACCTCCCGCACACAGGAAAACAAAGATCGTGCCTTCATCTTCAAGAGCGTCTCGTCGGAGCTTCCTTACACTTTGATACCGGCAAAAAAGTTCCCGTAGGTATAACTGCTCAAACCCGAGCTATAAATCCTCTGATACTTGCTTTGTCTTTGTACTGTTTACCTCTTGGCGTTGTTCTCTTGTCTAAAACCGGCGGTGAGACAAGGCCATGAAGACGGCTGCTGTCTCTGGTGTAGGCCAATCAGTTTCAAGGACTGCACGTATTTTATCAGAGCACTAGCAGGAAGTACCCAGCTTTGGCCAGGGGGGAAATATATCAAATCTTATCTTCTCTTTCAAAACATAATCTATACATACACAAATACTAAGCTATCATGAACGCCCAGCATTCCGTTTGTCTGTCCACAAAACTATAAGAGCCTTTCAGAAGTCATGAATCAAAAAGTTTCAGAAAGTGGGGCAAATATTTAATCTAAATGGTTTCCTTCCCCAATTTTGTTTTATTCTTCACCCCACAAAATTGTATTTAGTTTGTAGGCATATATACCTACACACCCTACATACAATAGCATAAGGAGTATCTGGTGACTCCAAGTAGCATATAATGACAATAGTAGTATCTACTGACCCTATAGTAGTATCTATTGATTCTATAGAAGTATATACTGACTCTATAGAAGTAAATGCACACATTGGGGTGGGTGTGGGAGAAGAGGACATCACGCAGTTCAGGATTTTCCTGAGCCTGTGCTTCTGCAGCAGCCATAACTGTGCGGTCTCTGGCTTGTCTTGATGCATGCTGCACTGTAGTTTCCACAGCCTGTGCTGCAGCAGTAACTGTGCAGTCTCTGGCTTGTCTTGATGCTCGCTGCTCTGCAGATTCCTCAGCTCGTGCCGCTGCGGTGCCTTCGTTGCTTGTTTCCTGCTGGGTCAGCCGCTGCTTCTCCACTGTTTGTTTTGCGTACCACAGCGCCACTCTCATTGTGTTTATTTTCGACTTGGAGAGGCACTTTTAAATCATGATCTAGATTGAAAAACTATTTTTTTTAAACTGATGTTTGTGTTTGGTTTGTTGCCCTTCCCTCGCACCTCCTATTGGCATTGTTGGTGTCAAAGAAGTTTAACATACAAACAACACACATACAACTTATATACAACATTCATACAACACACATACAACACACGTACAACATACATACAACATACATACAACTTTGATCTGTGCATGCTTTCGCCTTTGTTGACCACAGATTTATAAATTCCCCAATGGAGATATCAGCTCCTGGCCTTTACAGACGTCCTGGATGGGTGATGCGACCAAGTGTGACGCCTCCATCAATGTCAGCAACATCAAGATTCAAAACTCTGGGCGATATGGCTGTAAGGTCACTGTTTATCCACAAAACAAGCACGACATTGGGTATCTACAGCTAATTGTCAACAGTCCATCAGGTTTGTGTTAATTACTTCAAACGTCTATATTACCACCCACCACTCGATCATCTATGCTATAGACTAATTCTAGATTTGAAGCATTCGTGACTGCAAGGATTCATACTCTTAGTTTTTTTCGGTAAAGTCACGTAGGTAAAAAATGAAATTAAAATTCTTTTAATTTTGGAATTAAAGTTAAATTAATTTTAATTTCATTTTTTACGTACGTGACTTTACCGAAAAAACTAAGAGTATCCTATATACCTCATATAGATCTCAACATGTAAACTTTCGAGCCATGCGCCCAGTGCCATGGTGAACTGGGTTCAACCACTGGCTACGATCTCATCACCACCATGTACATCAGGACCATTGACTGCTCCTCAACGACATCTACGCAGTCTTAAAACAACGTCGGATATGAGGTGACTCAGAGGTCAGAGTGATGAACTAGTGTAGTGGGTCAATAACAAGAAGAGAGTCGCTCTGAGGCAACACGCATTTTTATTTACAAATAATCCCTAATCTTGATTGTGAAGCTTTTGTGACTGCAGGAATCCATACTCTTTGGTTCTTTCGGTAAAGTCACGTAGGTAGAAAATAAAATAATTTCGATTTAAAGCTTTCGTGACTGCAGGGATTCATCTTCTTGGTTCTTTCGGTAAAGTCACGTAGAATGGAAATAATAAAATAATAAAAATAAAACATAATCAAATAATTCTCACGACGTTTCGGCCACAACGCAAGCAGCCGTCCTCAGGTGGAGAGCAGGTCTGTCGTTCAGACTCTGTCGTCTCGACATATGATTATTATTTTATTATTTTATTATTTCCATTCTACGTGACTTTACCGAAAGAACCAAGAAGAAGAAAAATAAAATAAATCACGACGTTTTGGGTGCAACACAAGCGTCCGTCATGAGGTGGGAAAGCGTGGCCTGCTGCTGAGGCAGACTGTTGTAAAAGGTTTGAAATGGGTGTAGCCCAAGGACCATAAAGAAGTGGCCGGGGCTAGTGATGTTAACGTGAAAAATTTGCATGTAACTGTAAGATAGGAAAGCGGCCTCCTCGACGAGGGCACAGAAGTGGCTATGGTCATGTGAAAGATTAGCATGATGTTAATAATCCCTAACATAAAGGGTTAATGGCCCCTTACACCTGATACGCCTCCCACTGGCTATTCTAACCCTTCTTTTTTTTGCATTTCGAGGGAGCCATTTATTCGATGATCCTACACAGTTCAACACAGATGACATATCATTTAATCACGTGACGATGTGCATTTAGTACAATCTACATTGTGCCTAAAAATGGGGGTGGTCAAAGTTTTTTGAGAAATTATTTAGTTTTACAATACGGTGCATTAACTCATTATCGTCGTCTGTTTTGCAATACGTATCATGTAGGGTATGACATTTGGGTCGTTCAATTTATCCTGCCAGGTCGCATGTCTCTCATTCGCATTTTTCGTATTGTTTGGTTGGCTGTCATGCACATGCCTCGCTTAGATTCTTGCATTCCATCTTATTAAATAAAATACACGAAGCAAGTGCCCTTCCTGAGTGAAGTTTTGTCTTCACTGGTATTTAAGCTGGAGCCGACCCTTGCCAGGGGTACGACTCTGCCCGTGGGTTCTGCTCTTCAGGAGGCTCTTGATCTTCTTGGTTCTTTCGGTAAAGCCGACGTAGAATGGAAATAATAAAATAATAAAAATAAAACATGATAAAATAATTCTCACGACGTTTCGGCCACAACGCAAGCAGCCGTCCTCAGGTGGAGAACAGGTCTGTCGGGGAGACAGCGTCTGAATGAATGACGCTGTCGCCTCGACAGACCTGTTCTCCACCTGAGGACGGCTGCTGTCTTCTCGACAGACCTGTTCTCCACCTGAGGACGGCTGCTTACGTTGTGGCCGAAACGTCGTGAGAATTATTTTATTATGATTTATTATTTTATTAGTTTTATTATTTACATTCTACGTGACCAAGAAGAAGATGCGAACATGTTAGCAGCGTCAAACTGCGTTTCACCGAAATATTACCCCCGTCAAACCAGATTCGAAGCTTTCGTCACTGCATGAATTACTCTCTGGTTCTTTCGGTAAAGTCACGTAGAAATAAATTAAATTAAATAATAATGAAATACGACGTTTCGATTGCAGCACAAGCAACCATCATCAGGTACAAATGAATGATGGTTGCTTGTGTTGCAATCGAAACGTCGTATTCTATTATTATTTAATTAAATTTCTTTCTCCGTGACTTTACCGAAAGAACCAAATAGTATGCAAACAAACATGGCGCTTCTAATTGGTTCTTGGTTCTTTCGGTAAAGTCACGTCATTCAGACGCTGTCTTTCCGACAGACCTGTTCTTCACCTGAGGACGGCTGCTTGCGTTGTGGCCGAAACGTCGTGAGAATTATTTTATTATGTTTTATTTTTATTATTTTATTTTTTCCCTTCTACGTCACTTTACCGAAAGAACCAAAAAAACGTGAGTATTAGTTAAACAGAGATAGAGGGGGTGATCATATCGAATACACGAAGGCAATCCGAGTCTTCCCATGAGGTCTGTTTTTGTCGAACAAAGTTGTGCCCAACATGGCATTTTCCAGGAACGTAACCCGCCGCGTTCGACGAGGTCTGCCTGTTGTGTACTTTTTGAACGCAATCTTACTGACAAATGCTTCGAGTTTATTCATATATTATATAAGAAAATATACTAATGCGGACGTTGTGTGTGGTTTCTCTAGAACTCGTGGTTGTGACCCCAGAGAAAATGAACGCAATGGCAGGCACGACATTTATTCTGCCCTGCTCCTACACCTGTACAATCAGCGGCATTACCCACATGCTGGTGGAGTGGTTAAGCATCATAGACGGGCGTGAAGAGAGGGTGAGTTACTCCTCTGTCTGTTCTGTGCGCCATTTGCCACTAAATTGCAGCAAGCGCAAGCGTGGAATTGATAGTCTTGTTAGTAAACCTGGTCACATGACCCTTGAGCATTTACAATATCCAACGCTGATGAAGAGGTTTGTTATTTTCTATTCAGATCGAGGACCCCTGGTCACGTGACTGGGCTGAGGCTTGGGCCAGCCATTTTGCAAACAGTCTCCACGTGAAGCTACTTTGTCAACAGTTACTCCAGCCCAGTTGCAAGCCCTGTAGACAAAATCATTATCGGGTTTTATTGGAACGAATTTTATACTGAAACAATATAACGCATTGGGATTTCTGTGTGCTGCTTTTACCTTTATTGACCACAGGTTTATAAACACACCGATGGAGAGAGCAGCCACTGGCCTTTACAGGCCACCTGGGTGGGTAATGTGTCCAAGTGCGACGCCTCCATCACCGTCAGCAATTTGCAAACAAACGACTCTGGGCGATATCGCTGTGAGGTGACGGTGTACCCACAAAAGATGGAAGACATTGGGTATCTAGAGCTGAATGTCCAACCACGAGCAGGTTTGTATCACGTCCTTCATAGGTCTGTCCTACCACTCACTGCTCCCATCATCTGTCATGTAGCCCACACCTAACACACAATATCCACCCGACAACTCTACATCTTGACTTTCGTGTTTGGTTTGTTGTCCTTCCTCCGCAACTCCGCGGTTGGCTATGTACGGTGTGAAAAAAGTTCAACACGAATACGTACACGTGACAAAACCGTGGACCTAGAACCATGGTCATGTGGGTTCAACTCCTACCTGTGACTCTTCACTTTCAGTGTTCAATTGGCATACAATCCGGATATAAAGTCTCATGAGTTTATCATCTTAGCATGGTCACCTGGCACCCTTATAATCAGATGTTCCTTCTCAACGGATTATACAGGTGAAATTATTAGATAAATAAAAACATAACTATGCAAACATTGTAACGTTATATTTGTCTATCTGGCGTTGCAATTAATTTGGCCATAATCCAAGCTCTTGCCAGTTAAACAAACCAGGCAGAGATCGCCTAAAGCGGGCGTTACGTACCTGGAAAATGGCGCGTTGGGCTAAACCGCGTTCGTCAAATAATAGACAGAACGGGAAAACTATGGTTGCGTTCCTGGGTCTGAAATCATAACCTCTTGCTGTTTGTTTTACAAATTCTAAATAATTGTTGTGCTTGTTTTTGTACTAAAGGATGCCGATTCGCTCTACATTCCTTGTGTGTGTGTGCGCACTCTTTTGTTTTCACTATCGCCTCAACACAAAACCCCCATCTCCACTCCTCTTTCCGTACCACGGCACTCACGCCCAACGCTTGCCCCAAACACTGTCACTTGAATGTTAATTGATTCGCCATCTTGGCATTCATATGACATTGGACGACTAGCTGCATGCGGCAATTATGTACACATTTGCGTTGTGCATGTTGAGTGTGTGTTATGTTATTATAGGACTGTTACTGACACGACAACTTCTTAGTCTTTCTCGTTCCTTTTATTCCGCGTATAGTTCACATCGCCGACAGCATCGTTCAATGTTCCTCCATTCGCTCTGCTTCGCAGCTTCGCAGCTTGGCTCGTTCTCTCTCCCTACACTCAGGTCCGGTACTCTGCTGCTCGCTATGCTGTACTCGCTCCGTCCTTGCTACTCTGTCCGTGCTCTCTATATCCACTGCTACCCTATACTGTACTCTCTTATTCACTGCTACCTTATACTTCTCTGTTTCACTGCTACCTCATACTATACTCTCTGTTGCTCCGTCTCTGTCCCAGGCACCGTCTCCAGCTCCGACTCCAACACTCACCAAGACTCCCGTCTCTTCGCTACGCTCTGCCTTTATACCCGAACCAATCAGCCCCAATTAATTATCTCATCCCCTGCTTCGCCACTCGCCCCCAGGCCCCCTGCCTCACGTGATCCTGTTATCGTAGTCAGCCCGGCGCCAGTCAACAACCACTCACCCTCTTGACCAATCACCGGCCTGCGTCCTCAGTTGCCCTTAACACCTGTGGCGTCTCTTAATGACCTCCCCCTTAATTGGCGCAACAACAACTCTGTCCTCAGTTGCCCTTAACACCTGCGGTGTCTCTTAACGACCTCACCCCTTAATTAGCGCAACCAAACGCGTGTCATTTCAAGTCCTACATTATCACACAAAAAACACAAACACACCACAAAAAGATACGTGGCAAATAAATAGGTCTCACGGTAAATTCATTCAAACCTTCCAATGGACGCAGCATCCTTTGACACGAAGATGATAATCTTAGCTTTAAACCACGCATAGCTGAACCACGACACCCATGTTCCGGAAACCCACCCACATCAGGTAACCGGTGCAGAGCCGAAACACGCATTCAACAAAGCTGCATTGGGCAGGTTTGCCTGGATGTCTGTTTGAGTGTCATCCATCAAACATTACAAACATTTCTCGATAACTAGTTACGCAGTCTAACCCCCAAAACCCTGAATTATGGATGACATTGGTCGCGAAAGCCTAAGTGTTAAACATTACTCGATTTACACCATTGGAACCTCATTTGCCAGTAAAAAATATGATAATTGGTTTTTTACCCTTCTATCTGGCAACAAAACTGACACATTTTTTATAAGGAGTCATGTTTGCATAGACCACAATACCTGCAGTCATAATGCATTATGACTGCAGGTATTGTGGTCTATTATCATATTTTTTACTGGCAAATGAGGTTCCAATGGTGTAAATGCTTACCCCGAGCTCTCATACTCTGATAGTGCGCTGTCTTTGAGTTGTGCGCCTTTTGGCGTCATCTGGTCCAACACCAATGGAGACTAGGCTCTAAGGAAAACTGTCTCGGGTGTGGACCAATCAACTTCAATGACAGTGCATACATTATCAGAGTTATGTTTTTTGTTTGCATTGTGACTGCAGGTATTGTGGTCTATGCAAACATTATTCCTCGTAAAAAAAGGTGTCAGTTTTGTTGCCAGATAGAAGGGTAAAAAAACAATTATCATTACTCGATTTTGCAATGCACTCTCGGAAAATAATCCGGCCTGCTGTGGGAATCCAATGTCACTTAAACTAAACGATTTTTATTTTACCTGGTAAGGCCCACTGAGCAATGTGGCTCTTTTTGAGTAGCGACAAATGATAGCTCAACAAAGTGGCTCATCACATGGAAATGTATTGTGGCCAAATACTCTAAACGGATCTTTCGACATATGGAGGGTAAAGCCAGAGGACCCGGAGAAAAATCCACGCGACCAAAAAATTGCCAACACTTTGGCATGTTGCATAGTTGGGTCTCGCCTTGACTATTGCAACATCGTCCTAGTCCGGACCTCCGCTGGCAACCTAAAAAAACTTCAAAGACTACAAAACAACCTAGCACGCGTCGTCATTGCCCACACTCATCCCCGTCTCGACTCACTAGCTTGTCTCCGTGCTCTCAACTGGCTACCCATCGCCAGTAGGGTCACATACAAGACCGCCTGCCTCTGCCACAATGCCTTCATATCCGCCTGCCCGCCGTACCTTTCTTCATTATTGACAACTTGCAGCTCAGCACACGGCAGATGCCTGCGCAGCGCGACTCACGACCTCCTCTTGATACCAAGATCCAGGATGGTCATCGTGTCTATGCGCCGTTTCTCGGTGGCAGCCCCAACAGTCTGGAACGATATCCCTCTGCACATTCGCAGCATCACCTCAATCGCCTCTTTCAAGAGAGACTTAAAAACTCACCTCTAAAATCATGCTTTCGAGCGACTCTGAGCTTGGCTCCGCGCCTTTGAGTTGCGGCCACTACGTCTGCAAATTTGCGCGCGTTACAAATTGAACTACTATTATTATTACCACGGGGAGAGTAAATTACAAGCGCACAGTGGACGTCAGGGTCGAGATCGAACCCACCACCCCCTGTATACCTGGCGAGGTAGTTAACATCTCACCACCTTGGCTCCACTTGAAGGGACCTCAGAGGTAGCTCTAAATAATCCCGTTCTGTGGACCAATCTCTAACATGCGGCATAGCACTGCTCTGCTAGAGACCGAAATAGATGCTTAGTCTAACGGAACGAATTTACCCCCCCCTCTCTCTCTGTCCTAATTGTCACCATTGCGTTGCTCCTTCTCCTCCTTCCTCCTCCTCCTCGAGGTTAATTCCCACTGCTAATGTGAACATCGTGAGTTTGTCCACAGACCTGGCGGTTGTCACACCGGATGCAAAGGACGCCACAGTGGGCAGCACGGCTCTCCTGCCCTGCTCTTACACCTGCAACATCACGGGTATTAGACAGACGCTGGTGGAGTGGTTCAGGACCATAGACGGACACGATGAGAAGGTGCGTCACTGTCACACTTGCACACGATTACTTACACCCTCCTGCTCACAGTGTTGATTGAATGTTCTTTATTAACGCCCTTTCATGCTAATTTATTTCAATGGAGGTTACCCCATCTCATTTTCCGGTCCCATTGTCAACTTTAAAGTTTTTCAGACACCAGTACAGTATTGTATCTTCACCTACAATTATCTCAAATTCCCTCTGTTCTCTTCACTCTGAAGAAGAGCCATTTCCTAAAATGTAGGCTTATTATATACGTGTAGTGACTGACTCGGAGACACTAAGAGTCGAAGGCACTCTGTTAATTAACACGGCCTGACAGTTAACACTTCGTAACTCCGGTTCCCAGTCAGGACGGCTGGTAGACTGCCTGGCTGGCGACGCTGAGATGGTGAAGACGGAGATGGCCGCAAAGACTTCAGCAGCACAACAGGATCCCACTCCAAACGACAGCCCCGAGGTCCCCATCAGGGGCCCCTCTTATACTTTCAGCCTGGCCTGGCTCCGCCCCCGGCCACACCCCGTTCTGGAACTTCAAGTTCAAGTTCATGTATTTGGTACAAGCCCTGTGAGCCATTCGGCTCTTGAATCGGGTGCAACCACAACAAACAAAAAACAAAAACATGAACCAGAAGACATCTTAAAGTGAAACACAAGCAGTCAAAATGCAAACAAAAAGAATCAACTCTGATGATGATGATAATGATATGCACTGCCCTTGAAATTGATTGGTCCACACCCGAGACAGCTTTTCTTAGAGCCCAGTCTCACCCTGGTGTTGGACCAGATGACGCCAAAAGGCGTACAACTCAAAGACAATGCACCATCAGAGTATGAGAGCTCGGGGTAAGCATGTACACTATGAGACATCTCCTTTACCAGTGGCAAAATATAGTGATAGATTTTTTACCTTTCAACTGGTACAAAAACTGACAAGGGCAGTGCATATCATCATCAGAGTTGTTTATTTTTGTTTGCATTTTGACTGCTTGTGTTGTGGTTATTGCAAACATGATGCCTTGTATAAAGTTGTCAGTTTTTGTACCAGTTGAAAGGGTAAAAACCTACTACTATATTTTGCCACTGGTAAAGGAGATGTCTCATAATCTTAAAGTGAATATGTAACTAAGTGCAAACAGAAAATCTAAGAAAAGACAGCGAAATATTGCAGAAAAATCACCGTACACCAACGCTGTGTGCAAAAATCCCAGTGGGATGCAAGTCAAACAACAACAACAACAACAACCACAAGACAACTTAGATTCAGGCCATCAGTCTTACTCCGTACTACAACAACACAAACATGGCCAAACCAAAACACGTTTCGAAATCACCAAAATGAAGCCATGAAAGCAATGAAACAGTGGTCATAGGAACTGTGATGGAATTTTCACAATAAACGACATAAACAACATGTCCCACCAAACTCTGCAGCCATCGCTGGCTACCAGCGGTTTCTGGATGTGCCCCTTCCGTGACCCTTCCCCTAGATCCCTCTCTGGTCTATCACGTGACCCGCTGTCAGTCAGGGCTGCTGTGAGCTGCAGATCCCCTTCCCTGCCAGTAACCGGCGCTATGCTACTACGTGACTAATTCTATGTCACTACATATGTATCTGTTATAATTCAATGCTATATGTATTATGTCAGTTTTCAGAATATGAGCACGTGTATTATGTGGACACACAGTCATGCCCTGGTGTGTTCTCACGTTTGCCATCTAGGTGTATAAGATCATATCCAGAAAGAGAAGCCTCAGGCCTTTGCAGGTGACGTGGGTGGGTGATGAGTCCACGTGTAATGTCTCCATCACCATCAGCGACATCCAGACCCACGACGCCGGGCAATATCGCTGTGAGGTCACAGTTTCCCGATACGACAAGCCAAACATGCAAGACATCGGGTATCTGCAGCTGAACGTTCACAATGAACCAGGTTTGCATTATGTCATCCATGTATCTATTTAACACCGACTGCTTTATCATTCTCGCTAAGCGAAAATTCTAATTCTCTCCATTGTCCAGATTTACCACGAAAATTCACTCTGTTGGCACAGCCATGAAAGGTCTTTGTCACATCCTGTAGTATAAGAAACTCGACTATTTGCTGAGTTGTCTACGTGAGCCAATGATAGGCGAGAAAGGAGAGAGACAGCGGTGCAGGGGAGCTGTCCGGCCTGCAGCCCAGCGACACCGTCGCTGCCCACCTCCCCCAAGCCCCCAGCACGCCGACGAAAGGGGGGGGGAGACCCTCACCCCAGCAAGAGTCTGATCGCAGGCCACTCACCGTCACGGCCATCGTGATGCTTCAGGATGGCCGTGGACCCGACGGCCGCATGGCCCGGTGACAGAGCCGCCCGACGCAGGCATCGGAGAGAACTACGCCGCGTGGGTGCGGTTTCCCGCAAACAGCCACTGGCAGCAAGATCGTGGAGAGGACACCCGGCAGGCACTGGGGGGTGGGGGCGGGGTCAGGTAGGAGGCTGGGGGGTGGGGGCGGGGTCAGGTAGGAGGCTTGGGGATGGGGGCGGTCGAGATTTGCGGCACGGCGGACGAAGCCGCGCCGCACGAGCACCGCCACGAACAACCGCCCGCTCAGCCAGGCCGCTGAAATGGTGGCCCAGCAGGCGACGGGTGCAGGCAGGAGACCCGGGAAGGAAGCGATGGGCAAGCCGCACGGTGCGGCGAGGTGTGGGCGCGGCTCAGCGAGCACCCATCAACAGCCCAACTGACCCCCGGCAGGAATGGGGGTGAAGCAGCGCACCGTGGGAGGGGAGCGGCGCCCCCGAACCCAAAGCGAGAGCCTCTCAAAAGTGAAGGAAGCACAAAATAGGGCCTCTACAACATAATCAAACAATTTCGATTTAAAGTTTCTTTCGTGACTGCAGGGGTTCATCTTCTTGGTTCTTTCGGTAAAGTCACGTAGAAGGGAATAAAATAATAAAAATAAAACATAATAAAATAATTCTCACGACGTTTCGGCCACAACGCAAGCAGCCGTCCTCAGGTGAAGAATGAGCTTGGTGGTGTTTCATTCTTCACCTGAGGACGGCTGCTTGCGTTGTGGCCGAAACATCGTGAGAATTATTTTATTATGTTTTATTTTTATTATTTTATTACTTCCCTTCTACGTGACTTTACCGAAAGAACCAAGAAGATAATCAAGCAAGTTTAACACGTAGGCTTTCGCGACCAATATTATTCATAATAAACGTTTTTGGGTTAGATCGCGTCATTTATAAATGTGTTGCAACCCTCCACCACCCCACACGGCCAATCAGCAAAAAAATATTGTAAATGTTGTGGATTCACTCTTCAACACAACAGTGGGCTAAAGTAGTGAACTATTTGTCTTTTGTCAACGTGACACTTTTTTTCTGATTGGCCGTGCCGGGTGGTGGAGGGTTATGACACATTTATAAATAATGCGATCTAACCCAAAAACGTTTATTATGAATAATCAAACAAATAAAACTGAATAATAATTGTGGAGAACGGAACAAAAAATAGGGGAAAAGGGAGAATAAGGTGGGGGATGAACGGATGGACAGGAGAGGGAGCAGATGGCTGCTGCTGGCGGCTTTCACGGCACTGCCAACTTTTGCTGCCCCCCCCGCCCCCCACCAAAGAGCCTCTTTGCAAACGATGTTCCTGGTTTAAAGCTTTTGTGACTGCAGGAATTGATATTCTTTGGGTCTGTCGGTAAAGTCACGTAGAGAGGTTAAAAGAAAATAACAAAAATAATGAAAAAAACTACGACGTTTCGATCGTAACACAAGCGGTCATCATCAGGAACCTTCGTAGTTTTTTGTTATTTTTGTTATTTCTTTGAACCTACCTACATGACTTTACTGAAAGACCCAAAGAATATCATGTTCCTGGTCTTGCCTGCTGTTGCAAAGTAATGTAAATGTTTTTCATTGCCTACACGAGACCATCCAACGTAAAGTTGCCCGTGAGAACAGCACAGAGGTGCCAAATTCAGTCACACCACTTTTGAATGTTGTTCTTGCGCCATGTTAATGGACATCGCAAAGCTGAGCTCGACAGGGAATTGAAGCCTCTTATATTCAAAGGCTGTGTCATTCGGGATTATAGGTTTGCGAGGGAGAAAGGCGTCTTCACCTTTAGAATTGCCTGCAATGCAATGTAGATTTGATAACATTTGAATGTATTTATTTCACAATTAATCTTGTGCCATTGTATAATCTAAGTGGGTCTACGTTTCTCAATAGCAAGGCAGTTGCCCCAATTTTTAAATCCTTTATATTAAGTTCGCTTGCTTGCTTGCTTGCGTGCTTGCGTGCTTGCGTGCTTGCTTGCTTGCTTATGACCGTGTAAATCTTTCGGTCGTTTTTTAACCCACTTCCCGTCATCCAAACGAGCTGACATTTTGCACACAGACTCGTTGTGCGAGACAATTAATGTTCGTGAAAATTTTTTTCTAAATTTTTCCACTTTTTAGGAAAAAAACAATAATCAACATGAATAAAACAGAGGGGACGAAAGGGGAATACGTATAACCCGTAAAAACAAAGTTTTTCACTATAAATCCTTTATATGCGTGGCGGCTAGAGTCCTCTCGTCCTCTGGCTTGAGATGGCTGCCACCTATGGGTCAGATGATTGTCTGCAGTATTAAACAATTGGTAATTAAATATTTAATTTGTTTTCCCTTAACAGTGTAAAATTTAGGAAAACATTTTTCACGAACATTAATTGTCTCGCACAACGAGTCTGTGTGCAAAATGTCAGCTCGATTGGATCACGGGAAGTGGGTTAAAAAACGACCGAAAGGTTTGCACGGTCGTAAGCAAGCAAGCAAGCACGCAAGCACGCAAGCAAGCGAACTTAATATAAAGGATTTCAAAACAAAGTTTTTCACTATAAATCCTTTATATGCGTGGCGGCTAGAGTCTTCTCGTCCTCTGGCTTGAGATAGCTGCTACCTATGGGTCAGATGATTGTCTGCCAGTATTAAGCAATTGGTAATTAAATATTTAATTAGTTTTCCCTAAACAGTGTAAAATTTTGGAATTTTTTTTTCACGAAAATTATTTGTCACACACAACGAGTCTGTGTGGAAAATATCAGCTCGATTGGATCACGGGAAGTGGGTTAACAAGTAAACCCGTAAAAACAAAGTTTTTCACTATAAATCCTATATATGCGTGGCGGCTAGAATCCTCTCGTCCTCTGGCTTGAGATGGCTGCCACCTATGGGTCAGATGATTGTCTGCCACCATTAAGCAATTGGTAATGAAATATTTTTTTTTTCCCTAAACAGTGTAAAATTTTGGAATTTTTTTTTTTCACGAAAATTAATTGTCACACACAACGAGTCTGTGTGGAAAATGTCAGCTGGATTGGATCACGGGAAGTGGGTTAAAAAACGAGCGAAAGATTTGCACGGTCCTAAGCAAGCAAGCGAACTTAATATAAAGGATTTAAAAATATATTCGCCTGTGGAGGACGTGGGTATCGATCCCACGACCTTTGGCATGGGAAGCGAGGGCGCTACCAACTGCGCTACTCCGCCACAGCCTGTGGAGGGGTTACGCTCTGGGCTCTTACACTCTGACGTTCAGCCAAAGCCATGAATGAGTTCTATTTGAATATATGTAAAATATTATTTTTTTTGCCTAAAAAGTGTAAAATTTTGATAATTTTTTTTCACGAACAATAATTGACTGGCACAACGAGTCTGTGTGGAAAATGTCAGCTCGATTGGATCACGGGAAGTGGGTTAAAAAACTACCGAAAGATTTGCACGGTCCTAAGCAAGCAAGCAAGCACGCAAGCAAGCAAGCAAGCACGCAAGCAAACTTAATATAAAGGATTTAAAAAACGAGCGAAAGATTTGTACGGTCCTAAGCAAGCAAGCGAACTTAATATAAAGGATTTAAAAATATATTCGCCTGTGGAGGACGCGGGGATCAATCCCGCAACCTTTGGCATGGGAAGCGAGGGCGCTACCAACTGCGCTACTCCGCCACGGCCTGTGGAGGGATTATGCTCTGGGCTCTTACACTGTGACGTTCAGCCAAAGCCATGAATGAGTTATATTTGAATATATGTAAATTAAATTTGTTTTCCCTTAACAGTGTAAAATTTAGGATTTTTTTTTTCACGAACATTAATTGTCTCGCACAACGAGTCTGTGTGGAAAATGTCAGCTCGATTGGATCACGGGAAGTGGGTTAAAAAACGACCGAAAGATTTGCACGGTCGTAAGCAAGCAAGCAAGCAAGCGAACTTAATATAAAGGATTTAAAAACATCTTTTTTATTAAATCCTTTATATTAAGGCCGTGGCGAAGTAGTGCAGTTGGTAGCGCCCTCGTTGCCATGCCAAAGGTCGTGGGATCGATCCCCGCGTCCTCCACAGGCGAATATATTTTAAATCCTTTATATTAAGTTCGCTTGCTTGCTTAGGACCGTGCAAATCTTTAACCCACTTCCCGTGATCCAATCGAGCTGACATTTTGCACACAGACTCGTTGTGCGTGACAATTTATTTTCGTGAAATTTTTTTTCCAAAATTTTACACTGTTTAGGGAAAACAAATTAAATATTTAATTACCAATTGCTTAATACTGGCAGACAATCATCTGACCCATAGATTGCAGCCATCTCAAGCCAGAGGACTCTCGCCGCCACGCATATAAAGGATTTAGAGTGAAAAACTTTGTTTTTGCGGGTTTACTTGTTGTGAGTTTATTTAAGAAGTCTATACATAAGCCAGGTTTTCATCATGCTATATGTATCCCCAGTGGCCTAATGGATAAGTCACTGGCCTCCTAAGCCAGGGATTGTGGGTTCGAGTCCCACCTGGGGTTGCTGAGAAAAAGCTGTTCATGTTGTAAAATCAAACTGTCAAGTTAACGAATCTGATAATGAAAAGCCAAAATGGTGCTGTGCCTATGGAAGAGAGGTTTTAAAGCAGTGTTCAATTATACTCTTTGGTTCTTTCGGTAAAGTTCCGTCGGTATAGTGTCCATCATCAGATGATGATGATGGATGCTTGTGTTGATGATAGACGCTTGTGTTGAGCCCCGAAACGTCGTGATTTATTTTATTTTATACCTACGTGAATTTACCGAAAGAACCAAAGAGTATGGATTCCTGAAGTCACGAAAGCTTCAAATCAAGAGAGTTTTAAACAGTGTACTTTGGTGACAATTATCAACATTGATAAAGCAGAGAATAAAAGGGGAAAATACATATCCATTTCTATTATTATTGCGAGTTTATTTAAGAAGTTTGTATATAAGCCAGGTTTTCATCATGCTACTTGTAGCCCCAGTGGCCTAATGGATAAGGCACTGGCCTCCTAAGCCAGGGATTGTGGGTTCGAGTCCCACCTGGGGTAGCTGAGAAAAAGTTGTTAATTTTGTAGACGTCAAGTTTATGAATCTGACGATGAGAAGC